AGAGAGAGAGAGAGAGAGAGAGAGAGAGAGAGAGAGAGAGAAGAGAGAGAGAGAATAAACAACAGAGTAAAAAGAAAACCCACAAATTGGGAAAGAAATTTTAGCCAACTGTCCCTCAGACAGAGGACTTCTATCTACAACATATAAAGAATTAACCTGGCAAGCACAAGATCATGAGTTCAATGTCTGGTACCACACACACACACACACACACACACACACACACACACAGTTAAAAAATCAGGTCCCCACAATTCAAAGACCTAACCCAAAAAATGGGCATCTGAGATGAATATACACTTCTCAGGTGAAGAAATACAAATGGCAAATAAATAAATGAAAAAAATATTCAACATGATTAGTTATTTGAGAATACAAATTAAAACAACACTGAGATTCCATCTCACCCCAGAAAGAATGATTGACATCAAGAAAGCAATCAATAACAAATGCTGGAGGGGCTGTGAGGAAAAAGGAACCCTTCTCCACTGTTGGTGACAGTGTAGACTGATACAACCACTGTAGAAATCGGTGTGGAGATTCCTCAAAAAACTAGGATTGGAAGTCCTATACAAGCCAACTATTCCCCTCCTAGGTATTTTTCCAAAAGAACTGAAAAGAACATACTACAGTGATATATGTTCACCTGTGTTTATAGCAGAGCAATTTGTCATAGCTAAATCTTGGAAACAACCCAAATGTTCATCATCTGAGGAATGGATTAAGAATATATGGCATTTGTGCACAATGGAGTATTCAAAAAAAGATAAACTTGAGGCTTTTATAGGTAAATAGGTGAAAGTAAAGACCATACTCAAAAATGAAATAAATCAGACCCACATGTACAAATATCATATTTTTTTCATATTGTTTTGCCAGAGTAAGAATCTGAAAGAGTAAATAAAATCCAAAATGTACAATAGATATTGTGACAGCAAAAGAATCTGTTCAAAGGGAAGGAAAAACTGGAATGAGGAAAAGGATAAAAGAAAGAAAGAAAGAAGCAAAGGAAAAAGATATATTTTTGTATATATTCAGGATAGTTTGAATAATTGTACAGTTGATTTCTGCTGGTTTCTTGAAAGGTGTAGTTAATGCTTAAATTTTTTAAAGTTGACCAAATAGCTCAGCAGATTAAAGCACCCCCAGGGTGCGCTGAGATGGCCACTGAGACTGGGCATGGTGGCGCATGCCTGTAATCCTAGCTCTTGGGAGGCTGAACACAGGTGGATCACTACGAGTCCGATCTACACAGTGAGACCCTGAAGACCTTCTAGATCCTTACTAAAATACAAAAAAAAAAAAAAAAGGCTGAAATTTTTTCTTCTCCTTTGTAGTTTCTTGTAATTAAAAAAAAAAAATTTGCATGCTTATATCTGGTAATCTAAACAACTGATTTGAAGACAAAATTATGCAATATAACCACCACTGTTGAATGCCTACTATTTTGTTTAGTGAAATTTTCTATTGTTTCTATTTTTTAACTCTTTTTAAAAATGATATTTTATCATAATTCCTTAAGGTAGGGGCAGATTATTGGACAGGACTCCAATTGGTGAATGGAGGGATGGTCAATCTTTGTTCATTAATAAGGAGCCCGCTGTGATCTCCAAAGTCTCTTGGGAGTCACCCCCCAAAATTTGGTCCCTGTTGAAAAGGTAAAATTTTCCAGAAAAAACACAATAAATTTTTCTCATAAAAGATGTTCTTGATACAAAACTAAATAAGAAACAAAGGTTTTCATAGGTGTATGACATGCCATTGGTGCTAATCTCATGGTATATTAAATGTATTCATGATTCAGGAAGCATTGGTCTTCCAAAATATAAAATAAGGATTGCTCATGGTGTAAGACTTTTCTTTTGGATTCACACCTCTGCCTTTAACAAAAAAAGTGAGGTGGCATAGAGCCCATTAAAAGATAATAAATTAGGTGCTGGGGAAATGGCTCAGTAGAATAAGCGCTTTCCTGGCAAGCACAGGGGCATGAGTTCAATTCCCAGTTCCGCAAAACAAATTACCACAAACTGAGTACCTCAAAACTACA